GAAATAGGAATTAAAATAAGGAAATTTTATTTATTTTAAAGGGATTCAGTCTATGGAACAACTTACAAACCTTCAACCATTCAACGGTAGACTCTTTTCGTCGATTAGGACTTAGTATAATTTTTCTCTCTTTGGGTGGCACATTCTACGAATCAATCGATGGACTAACACTATGGTCCGTCGATGCACCTACGGTCTATTGATGCCCTCCAATCTCCATCCTTAGAATTAATCCAACTTTGGGACTAGAACCCGGTTAAATCAAAAGAACGATCTAACAGTATGGTCTATCAATCAATCTATGGACCGTGATTCACTCTCGTAGTTCAACACTTGGTTAGATTTCCCCGAGTGTTTTGCAATGTCTTGACGTGCTCATCTACGGTCCCCAACTACGATCCATCAATCAAACTAAAAACCGTAAATGGCCTCCATGCGTCCTGTTCTGCACTTTCTTAGTTGTTTACTCATCTTGCCGCCTGTATATCTTTACTGCAAAACAACACAAAAACATGTTAAAATTACTACAAAAAGGCTCTAGACTTGCACAAATCTTAAGTAAAATGCATTTAAAATACTGTGAAGCCACGATATATCAACTCATGAGACTCCAGACCTTAGCCTAAGAAAGGACCATGGGGACCTTCGTGGTCCGTGGTCCTCCACACCGGTCGTGGTAATGGCTTCTGGGCTAGACCTTCATAACCACAGGACCTAGTGAAGATCACAATGTCCTTCATTGTCTGAGGTCCCTTTTATAGTCCATGGAATTGGTCGCGGTCAGCCCTTTTTTCAACTTATGTTAGTGGTCTTTTGCTTTTTTTCTATTTTGTTAGACCCTAAACTTCATCATTTCAACCCTAAACTATGTGGTGTTTGTTAGGTTTAACCTAGTAACGAAACTATAATTTACCTAAGTTACATCTTTCAATAAAACATAGAATATTAGAACCTAGAGAGAATAAAGAGGCGACCAAAACCCTATTCAATAACGTAGAAATATTCCATCAATGTCACCATGTGGGATTTCATTAGTTGGTTCCTTTCACCATTAGGTTCCTAAAATGTAGTCAGAATCATGATTCCCTTATCATAACTAGACCTAGGGTTTTCTAGAACTTTATCAGATTATCATTAATTAGTTATTTACATGTTCGAAATTAGATTATTATGTTAGTACTTTGTTTTGCGCATGAATTTTATAACTCTAGATATGGTCTTTTTTAGCTCTTCAATTACACATGCTAAGTTAGATATCTCATCTATTCATATATATATATATGCCTTAATTTTGAATATGTCATTATAAGTTTAATGATGTTGTATTGTCAGTTTGCATGTATGTTTTGAGATATCAAATGTAATAGAGAAATTAAGTAAAAATGTGCTAATCATTTAATCTATTGGGAGTAGCAAAATACGGAGTTTTAGTAGGGCCAGTCACTCATGTAGTCCCAAACATACTAGTCACGTAGGTTGTACGTACCCTCTATGGGGATCGGTTGAGTGATCACCCCAGTATGTCTTTACACCTTTGGTTGGGTGTATTGGGTCCTCTCGATGGGGCGCATATATCGGACTCCATGGCAATCTTAAACACAAACTTAAAATGTACTAGGGACATAGCCATTTATAATTGAAACAACTACTAAAATGTCTATAACATGAACAAAAGGGAACATAAAGTCTTGCCCTCGAATAATAAGGACATACCATGTCTTACAGGAATGTAATCCAACACTTCAAACTAGCTAAAAGGAATTAGTAGCCGGAACCTATACTTGTAATAAAAACATGAAGAATGTGGGTTTGTGCACAGAAATGTACGAAGTATGATGAACATCCAAAAATATGTTTTAAAAGGGTCAATTTTGTAAGAAACCATGCATTAGGCCACTTTTTAAAATATCATGAACAATAGCATAAAAGACATCATATACAAGCATTAATATCATATAAGTCATAACATCACATTTTGATAATATCATACTAAAACCTTTACCTTTACCTTGGATATTCACCTCAAGCAGTCCTTATTCTATACCTTGTGCAATGTATGAATAGCGTCTCATATCGCACCCACACTAAGGCACCACATATAGGTTTCTTTAAGTAAACTTACCATTCATTTCATTTCACCTTTACATCATATTCATACATAAGGAATAAGAATTTTAGAATTCATGATCTTCTTCGCCAACTATGCCTAAGTAAATCGATATATGATCAACACTGCGTGATACTTCTTTATACACTTGTATAGAAATATGATTATCATATGCGATATACCAATGATATAATCCGCACCTTTATTTCAATTCAAGTAGATATTTCAAACAAATGTTTTAAAGTTGAAGTTGCTTAAGGTATTGGATGTATTTTCATTTGAATATGTTGTCTCTTGTTTAATCACTCAACTTGTACATATGAGATAGGTTTTCTGCTAGAATTGATAAATCTACATACCATAATTCTTCAAAGATATATATATATATATATATATATATATATATATATATATATATATATATATATATATATATATATACCTCTCTGGGGGGCATAAAATCATTGTATATATTGAATGAAAACCTCTGCTTCTCTATAACTTGAACATACTTTATCTTCATTAATCTCCTTTTTCTTCAGAAATCATTAGAAGATCTCCAAATCTATAAGAGCTTAAGATTTTACAATCCATTGAAGGTATATTTTCCTTAAAAGGTACTTATATACCATGGGGAGTCATGACTCTTTCGGACAATTTACCCAATCTCGAACTATTTTATGTAGTTGCTAGAACAGGTTGGACACTAAATGAAGATGTTATATTTCCCAAATGAAAATAGCTACGAAATGTAGAAGCAAATCTGCAAAGATGGGAAACATGTAATGATTATTTTCCGATGCTTGAGTAACTAATATTGCAGGGTTGGGTAATTTGGAGGAGATTCTTGATAGTACAGGAGAATTGAATTCTAGCGTGATATATGATAATACATGCATATTATTTTTTTTCTAGATGTTTGTAATATCTTGATATATATTGATAGAGAATAGATTGTATGTTATGCAATTCAAAGGATAAAATCAACATGACAATGAACTCATAACATAATATATATAATACTACCTTTGATTAAATCAAAACTCATAAGCACAACACTTAGTATTAACTTCAACTAAACAATACTGCATGAATATTTGATGATAAAGACCTCAAATGAACCATAAACCTAGACACTTAATATAATATTTGAGTTTGTAATTTTACTTGTGAAACTTCCATACACAAACACTAGCAATTGGGAACTATGGAGAAGTAGATCCACTAACTCTACTAGCAAAGGGTTCACCAACTTTGAGTCCATATGAAGGAGCCTAAGAACTTCCCGATGTCTTAAATGGGAATGCATTATTATTCAACAGTCGTGCCTCCTTTTCAACCTTATGCTTTAGAACTTCTAATTCGTTCTTCAAATGTTGAAGTTGAAATTAGTTATGTTCTTCCATAGGAGATTGCCACCATAGACCATAAGCTCTCTCCCTAATTTCTCAAAGGGATTCTCCGCGATTTTTCTCCAGCTGGAAAACCCTCCGATGTTCATGAACTTTACATTAAGCTCATGAATATCATCTTCTATATGAGCCAGAATTCGTTACCAATAGATTCTCGCTCTGGTGACCGAAGTAGAAAACTCCTTTATTGCCCGGGGAAAATACCACAATGACAATTTAAGCCCCACATAGCCTACACAATTCTCTAGCCTTTTTGAATTGACTAGCACGACGCTTAGAAAACGTATCTTGTAAGTTCCCCGCAATCTTCATTTTCCCCATGTCAACCCTTGTGATGACACTTGTTGATCCGTGTTGTCATGTCTAGACTATCACTTAGAAATTGACTCTTTTGTCTTAACACCAACAACTTTATTTATACAAGAAATTGTATTTTTAAGTAACTTGGGGAGCTGCAAAAATTGTATTCTTTCCTTTTTTTGGAATTGAATAGATGTATTGAAAATAAAAAACATTTGATTCACTTGTCCTTCATTCTTTGTCTCAGTAGATATAGACCTTATTATCATGGATTCACTTTCCCTTCATTCCTTTTTTAGGTAGACATATATCTCATTTTTTTAATTAGACCATTAATATTTTTCCTAATTAGAATTATATAATTGGATTGAACTTGACCACTATTTCTTTGGGAATTTTTTTTTAAAAAATATGATTCATAAAACCTTTAGGGGTCGTTTGGTTTGAAGAAAAGATATGTTGGGATTAATAATGATTGGATTAGTTATATTATGATTATTTTTTATTGGTTGTTTGGTTTGTCAAATATGTATGACATCATTTCTAAGAGTAAGTTGTTTCTTTACAAGAATACCCTCTAAGAATAAATTGTTTGTTTATAAAAGAGGGCTTAAGGGGGTAATTTTTTTATTTTCCATTTTTATCCGGGAATACTAATTATGGGACTAGTATACCACCGACAAGTAGGGATAACTTAACCCAGTCATAATTATTAATCTTGGAAAAAGTTTTCCCATAATTTGTAACCAAATAAAGATTTGATGAGTAGTAAAAAATAATATCAGGATTATTTTTCTTTTTCCACTCACACCAAACGACCCCTTAATTTTTTAAATGTAATAAGAATTTTGCATTTACCATTGCATTTTCCTAGTCAATCATCATTTACAGACCTACAATGTCACATGAATCAAACATATTTGGGTGTTCAGATTTATAAATATATCAACAATACTACGGTCAATAGAGATCACAAACTCCATGTGGTGATATATTTGCCTTTTTAATCAACAAACAACTCTCTCTAAATAATAAAATTTAAATACATTTATTAGTACAAATATAAAAAATAAAATAAAAAAATTATTAAAAGAAATTGAGGGATATTTTTTTGCTTTACTTGGATTTACACCGTGGTATTAAATTCGATATATTTCTAATATCAAAAGATGTAAGGTATTAGTTATTCTAATCATCCTAATAATAAATCTCTCTCTCTTCAGACGCTCCTGCCTACTGTTACAACGGCTACAGAAATATCTGAAACGCGCGCTGCTGCGCTGGCGCGTGCGCCGCCGGTGGACCTCCAAAAACCACCGGAACAAAGCCAAATGGGGCGCCATGAAGATGGAAACAAAACCCAGTATGGCACGCACCATGATTCATCTCTCAATTCCTCGAATTTAATAGATACAGATGTGAAGAATGCTGCGTTTTCAGAGGAGTTTGATCGAGAACGAGAAAATATTTCCCAAATGATTTCTGCGTGGAATCGAGGAAAATTGATAGTGGAACTGGATAATACTACTCACGATCTACATAATACTCAAAAATCAATCGATTCCACTTTACCAATTGACAGCAATGAAATGAATTTGGTGAGAATCGCGAGGGAATCACCTGGGCTGCGCACTGAAATTCGAGCAACTTCGAGCCAATCTTGTAACGTATTGAGTACTGGGGTTTACACCCCTGTTGATAAGGAGCATCCCACTGAAATTTCAAGCAAAAGAGACGGGGGAATTGCCGGCGGTGAGAAGTCCAACGTACGAGAAGCTCAATACACCGGAAACCATGGAAAATGGGGACTAACTTTCAGTCTATTCACGTTCAATTAGCAGATTATTCTAACAATACTGAAGGAAGAAACAACTTCAACAACAATTCTTTATCCCACTATGATTCTACACTCAAACTGCAACAGGGGACAAGATAATGAAGAACATGAATTTGTCTCTAGTCAAAATGCAGAACAACACAATGTGTGGGAGGTTCAAGCAATTCGAACACCAACAATGGGAGAACGAAGCAAGACACAACCTAGGGGAAATTTGATTGAGAAACAGAATACTACCAGCAACAACATGAAGTTGCATACAGCGGCCTATTCGAATGCTGAACAATCCTCAAACTTTTCCTTTGGAATTACAGGTAACTCATCCTATCTAACTCCTCACATTATTGTTGATGCTTCACAGGTCAGGCCAAATGAAGATGACAAGGGATAAGAGAAAGGACAAACACAGCCTCAAAGGCAGGAACAAGAAAGTCACAAAACACAACCTGCAGGCATGGAAATGCAGCAAAGAACAAATGATCAAAGGAATGCTACAAATGGTAAGGCAAGCCAACAAATTTACAAACAAAACTCAACTCAGGCTCAAAGACAGGAAAACAGTCAACAAGGAGAAACAAATTCAGCAAATCAAAGCAACAGGACAACCATGGATTTCCAAAGAAATTTCCCAAAGATCTCCAACAACTTCACTAGGTATGACCCTAACTCTCAAATAGATAGAAATAAACAGATGAACAATGCTGCGCAAGGAAATGCTAGACCTCCTAACATCAAACAGCAAGAGCAAAACATTAGTAACAATGTTAAACAGGGTAAAATTTCAGAACCTGCTCCATACACTGTTGTTCAATCCTTTGCAGCCCGCTTGAGGTATAATCAGTCTAAGAATGAGATCCCAATTGTGTTGAATGACCCCATACATACTACTAGACAAGGGTATCCTGTTGTGCTCTTAGATGAAAATGACTATTATGTGAAATGTTGTAAGTATACACTTGTGGGCAAATTCACCAATAAAATGCCTAAAATGCAGTTGGTTAGAAAGAGCTTTACCCTTCAAACTCAACTTACTGGAGGGGTGAAGATTACTCACTTTAACTCTAGGCATGTGTATATTGATCTTGATAATGAATTCGATTATCAAACTGTGTGGACAAAATTGAGGATGACTGTTGAAGGGCAGTTGATAAGAATTCAAGCTTGGACCCCTGATTTTACCACCGAGGAAGAGACTCCTAGTGTTCCTATTTGGGTTGCTGTGCCAGGCGTACCATGTCATTGTTATAAAAAAGTTCTATTGACTACTATCTTGGAATCTGTCGGGAAGGTCTTATATCTAGATTCTCCGACTTCTCAAAAGACTAGAGGTAGCACTACTAGGGTGAAAGTTCAAGTTGATCTCACTAAGAAAAGGCCTGAACATGTATGGTTGGCATTCAAAAATTCAGACCCCAACAAGGGGAGATGGTTGAAGGTTCAATACGAAGGTATCCCCGACTATTGTATGTATTGTAAACATCAAGGGCATATGGATTATGATTGCACTATAAAGAGAAGACATGAAGAGGTGAACAAGAGGAAAGAAATGGAGTATGAAAAAATAGATAAATCAAGAGGAGATCAGCATCAAGGTGGAGATGTAATCGAGGAAAATGTTAAGCAAAATCAAAAAGGAAACCACCAAGAAGGAAAAAAACAAGAGACCAAAAATCAGGGTGAAAGAAATGATGTTCAAGAAGTTTCAGAAAAAGAGGAGCAGTTGCAGACACAAAGAAGAAAACAATCAAAAAACTTGGAGCAAGTTCAACCGAAAACAGCATGGAGAGCATGCTCACCACAACACAAGAAAGTCATTGATGACAGCCAGTAGGCAGCAGGTATACCTCCTTCCATTACTACTCATAATGTTTATAGTGACTTAGAAGTGCAGGAGCAGGCTGTTTAGGAGCTGCAGGTGGACACATCAGGAAAGAAAGGTGCTGCAGACAGCAATATCTAAAAAATCCAAGAGCCAGTTACTGCATCACCAACAACAACACAAACAACAAATGTCCAAAACCTGCACATGGACAATTCATAAAGGAAAGGGGATGCGGACAGTGATACACAGCAAAATGAAGAAACAAATATAGTTTCACCATCAACAAATCAATAAAAAAACCTGCAGAAACATCAAACACAACTCACACAAGCCAATAATAACGAGGGAACAGGTTTTGACTTATCTCTCCCCACACCCCATCAATCCCCTATAAATGCTGCTGATAATATTGTGAATGTTGGGTTGGCTGTTGAAGTTGATAGAGGTATGGATGGAGGGTGTCAGGAGAAGCCCACTAATCTGCAGGAAAGGGTATCCAAAGGGGGGAAAGGAACTCTGGTTTTTCATCACTCGGACCATAGGAGAGACCTTAGAGCCTCAGAAAATAAGTCTCCAAATTCCAGCAATCAGGGGCAGGAGAAAAATTCCAGTCAATGGAAAAATTATGAGGTTGATCAGAGTTTGAAAAGAGCTGAAAATCAAGAAGCTAGGGTATAAATGCTGCTGGAAATCAACAATATACTGTTAATTCTGAGCATCAGCAGCAGGAAGATAAAACTTCTGTCGAAAAACAAAACAATAGATCACAAGGCAGGCCTAGCAAAAAGAAAAGAGAAGCAATTAAAAGAAGAATCCAAAGAGAGGCAGGTCTGCAGTGTCATAATGAGCAGATTCAAAGAGAATATAAATCTCCAAAACAGTCCCATGACAACTCAGATTATGAAGTTATACATGCAGAAGATGGATTTGACGAAGATACTCAATCTCTCAATGAAAAGGAGGGAGAAGAGGAAGAGGATGAAACTAGTGCACAGTTGATCAATGCTTTTGGTTCTACTTTCCAAGGTGAGTTTAAGTCTAAAACCCATGAAGTCACTACTCAACAAGGTTTATCTCCAAGGGGTAGAAAGGAAGTCAGACTATATAACAACACCGTCACAACAAGCACATCTGCTAATACTAGCAGAGCCAACACCAGGTCACGAAGTAAAGGTTTTTAATGATCAGTACAATATGTTGGAATGCTAGGAGCATCAACACCCAAGGCTCTTTGGAAAGACTCCAAAATCTCAAGAAAATGCATAATTTGTTTATGATTGCTATTCTTGAACCTTGTGCAGATAACTCTCAAATCAACAAATACAAGCTTCTTTTGTCTATGGATAACGCTCTTTGTAATAATAATGGCAAAATTTGGCTCTTTCGGACCAATGATATGGAATGTGATATTTTGGAAATTCATGATCAACATATCACTTTTTGGGACAAACATGTTGAACACAATGAGAAATTTATTTTTTCTCTTATTTATGCTAAGTGTAAGGAACACTTAAGAAGACCTCTTTGGGAAAGACTTTATCATATCTCCAATGTGGATAGCCCATGGTGTACGATTGGAGACTTTAATGTTATTACGTCAACTGATAAAAAACATGGTGGCATACCCTATAATATGAACAAAAGTCTGGAATTTATTGATATCATTGAGGCTTGTGGTATTATGGACATAGGCTACAGTGGTCAACATTACACTTGGTGTAATCAAAGATCCGGTGAAGCAAGAGTGTGGAAAAGATTGGATCGAGCCATGGTCAACGATAAATGGTTGGAATGTATGCCACAAACTACTATCTCTAATCTTCCTGCTGTTGGCTCAGACCACTGCCCTTTATTAATGGAAATGTAGGTGAGAATAGCCCAAAAAGTAAAATATTTTATGTTTTTGCACTGTTGGACTGAAAATGAAAATTTCAAGGATATTGTGCAATGCTCTTGGCAAGAGGAAGTAAGTGGTGATCCTATGTGGAAACTTCATCAGAAAATGAAAGAAATTGGCTTCTACCTTGAGTACATGGTCTAAGAGTGAATATGGCAACAACTTTTCAATGGTTATAGATTTTGAAGAACAGGTTAAAAAGGCGGAGGAGAATGTCATACAAAATAATTTAGAGGAGAACAGAGCCAGACTTCATCTTATTAATGCTCAATACATAAAATACATGAAGTTGGAAACTTTCATACTCCAGCAAAAAACTAAGCTCCAATGGTTCAAAGAAGGGGACACCAATTCCAAATACTTTCATTCTATGATGAGGGGAAGGAGAAGGAAGTTGTTTATCCACAGAATTTGCACAGATGAGGATACTTGGATACAGGGAGATGAGAACATTGCCAAAAAAGCTTGTATGTACTACAAAATATTTTCACTGGGAAATCAGACAGAATCACTGAGGAGGTTCTTAATTGTATTCCCCGGATGGTTACAGATGAGCAGAACCAACTTCTTCAACAAATGCCTAATATGCAGGAATTAAAAAAGGTTGTTTTCTCCATGAATCCTAACTCGGCTCCAGGTCCGGATGGGTTTGGAGGAAAATTTTATCAATCATGTTGGGATATTATTAAGGAAGATGTTCTAAAGGCTGTGCAACATTTCTTTTGTGGATATATTTTGCCTAAATATTTTTCACATGCTTGTCTTTTTCTTCTTCCTAAAATTGATCATCAGAATAAATTTTCAGAGTTCAGACCCATCAGCTTGAGTAATTTCTCCAACAAAATTATTTCCAAGATATTTTGTTTCAGATTAGAAGGTATTTTACCTCAGTTTATTTCTGAGAATCAGTCGGGATTTGTTAAGGGAAGAAGTATCTCGGAAAACATTATGTTGGCTCAAGAGATCACTCATCGTATCAAACAATCCAATGAAGGTTACAATGTGGTAATCAAACTCGATATGGCCAAGGCATACGATAGAGTGTCATGGTCGTATACTTGTTTGGTTTTGCGAAAAATGGGTTTTGGTGAGAATTTTATTGACCTTGTGTGGAGAATAATGAGCAACAACTTGTAGTCTGTTATTATTAATTGGTACAGGCATGGTTTTTTAAAGTCAACAAGGGGTCTCAAAAAAGGTGATCCATTATCGCCGTCCTTATTTATTTTAGGGGTAGAGGTGTTGTCTCAGATGCTTAATATGCTTCATCAACAACAGCATTACAAGAACTTTCAAATGGAAAGTAGAGGCCCACAGATTAATCATCTCAGCTTTGCGGATGATATCATTATCTTCTCTTCCACCACTAGAGATACTCTCCATATGATTATGAAAACTCTTGCCACATATGAGTCTGTCTCAGATCAACTCATAAACAAAGACAAGAGTCATTTCATGGTCCCATCGAACGCTCCCATAGAGGTCATCAATGTAATTGTAGAAATCACAGGCTTCACTCAGAAAAACAGTCCCATTACCTACCTGGGGTGCCCCCTTTACATTGGTGGTCAAAAAATCATTTACTATTCAGATTTAGTCGCAAAGATCACCAAAAGGATCACGGATGGCAATCAAGGATTCTTAGTTTTTGTGGGAACCGCTACTATGATCAAACATATTCTACAATCCATTCCTATCCACACAATGTCAACTACCTCTCCTCCTAAAACAACTATCTGTTATATCGAGAAAGCCATGGCAGATTTCTTTTGGGGTTGGGACAAGGAAAAAATAAAGTATCATTGGGCCTCTTGGGATACGTTGTGCCTTCCTTTGGATGAGGGAGGTATTGGTATAAGACGTCTTGAAGATGTGTTTGTGTTTCATTACAACATAAACAGTGGTGGATTCTCAGAAGCATGCAGACATTATGGGGTCGATTCTTGAGAGAAAAATACTGTCAAAGGGCTCATCCAATAGCAAAAAAACTACACACGGGGCAATCTTTGGTTTGGAATTTTATGATGAAAAATAAAGCCATTGTCGAATCCCAAATTCAATGGAGAATCAACTCTGGCAGCAGCTCATTTTGGTGGGATGATTGGTTAGGAGACGACCCTCTTGCTCCTCAATGCAATCATATCACGAGCCTAAACAACACCACTATTTCTCATTTTTCTAATTAATGGAAGATGGAACGAAAAATTTCTTCGACAATGGGTTCCTCCATTACTGATTTCAAAAGTTTTGAATACTGACATTAAGTTTCAGGAACACATGCTGGACGAGGCAGTCTGGAAAACTTCTGAGAAAGGGCAGTTCTCCTGTGCTACTGTCTGGGAACACATTCGTCACAGGAAGGAGAAAAATAATTGTAGTAAGAACATCTGGCATAAGTTAATCCCGTTTAAAATTTATTTTTAAGTGTGGAGGGCATTGTGTGGTAAGCTCCCCACTAACGAAAGAATTATTAAATTTGGGAGGGAGGCAGCCCAATGTTCCTGCTGTTACAGCCCTGGGGAAGACACCATAGATCATATATTTGCAACTGGTCATTTTGCTAACAATATTTGGAGGTTCTTTTCTGCAGCTACAGGGCTGCAACATGAGCACTCCACAATTCACACACTGCTGCAGAAATGGAGGAACCGGGCGCAGGCAACTGAAGTGCAGAAGCTGGCAACCAGGCTGCTGCCAGTCATCATTCTCTGGAATCTCTGGAAAAATCGCTGCGCAGCAAAATACAAAGCAAAGCAATCCAACACAGCTCGAGTAAAATTCCTCATAGTCAAAGACTTCAACAATCTCCTCAATACAGCCTATCCATACATCGAATGGATGGAACTCTCTTATCGAAATGGTGGCAAGTTACAAACATGCTATTATGGTTAAAGAAGTAACGTGGGAGAAACCTCAGCAACCATTCCTCAAGCTCAACATTGATGGGAATTCCCTTAGCAACCCCGGGAAAATTGGAGGAGGAGGAATAGTAAGAGATTATCAAGGTAATATGATATATGCATTTACTATTCCTTTGGGTATTGGTACAAACAACCAAGCGGAAATTCAAGCAGTTAGCCATGGTTTAGATTGGTGCATTCATCATGGATATAGAAAAATACACTTGGAAGTTGATTCAGAATTGGTCATTCATTGGCTTTTGAATCAAACCAACTACCCATGGAACCTACAACCATACATCCTGGAAATCCACAGAATAGTGCATCAGTTTGAAAGATTCAAGTTTACTTATGTCTACAGGGAGGCAAACAACACGGCTGATCGGCTATGCAAATATAGTCACAACACAGACATTGTTCAACACTTTTAAATCAAGGATCAATTACCTACTCTTGCGAGAGGAAGCTTCATTCTTGAAAAACTTGGCATGGATAATTTCAGGAGAAAGAAATTGAAAAGAATCAAGAAACCTCCATGATCGTCTCTGTTATGGTATAGTTTTTATACCGTTTTTGGTTAGGAGCCTATTCACTTAGACTATGCTATTTGGTATAGTCTCGTTGAATAGGATACACCTTTATTCTCGTCTTATTTTTATAAGGGGAGAGTCTCCCTTATTTACGTTTCCTAGATACTTTGTATTGAGAGGAGTCCTCTGTTCTAGGTGCTTAGTATTTTGTTTTCTCTTTTATTGTAAGGGGATGAGTAGAACTTCCTTTTTAGGAAAGTTGACTTCTGAACCATCTTAGGATCGGAGGTAAGGTTTATGCCCCTTCTTGTATTTTTTACTTTTATTAATGTTAAGGCATGGGGGTGTTGCTCAGCCCCTTACCCCCCCAAGGGTTCTTAAAAAACAAAAAATACCATGAGGGGTGTATAAATAATCGAGGAATTAGTTTTACATAGTCCTTAAATTCCTACCAAATAATACCATACAAATACATACACTATTTCTCCTAACATTCTCTTCTACTACTCAATAGTAATTTTCAGTTATTTGATGTTTCTACAACGTAAATAGACTTTGTCGTGATTAAACTTTTTTCTGCTTGTCTTTGCCAAACCTATGTTTTACCCTAATCTGGTATTCCAACAGTTATGATCTACCAATGGAATTCGTAACAAAATCCTAAATTTTCATCAGATTAACTTTGCCGATAAGTGTCATTGTCAACGCCAGTGATAGATAACCTACGCTCCATGCTGGTGAACCACCACTAAAACAAGCATTGAACTATGCAACGCCTTTTCATAAAGTAGAAAACAAAATAACAATGCCTATATATCTATATCAAATGTATTACTTACGTCCATGGAGATCCAACTATATTATGGGAGGAACAAGAGGTTCGGATAATGATCATTTAAGAAGGTTTATAGTATGTCCGAAATATTTTATTATGGCTAGTAAAACCTAGACAAGATTGGTAAATTGATACTTTATAGTGTGAGATTCGAGCCTGAATGTAAGTAAGGATTCCTTAGTGATAGTCATATAGTAATTCGGCTTACCAATATGAAATATTACGTAAATTTCATGTCAAAACAAACATATTTTTGAAGGTTAAAACTGATATAGCATTATATGTGACCTCTAAAGTGGTAACCCTAGTTCAACCCATAGGAGGAAACTACCATTGCCTTAGCATGGATCTTTTTTTCATCCCTATCACCCAATGTTGTCGTTAGAGATTCCTTGTTTACAATGGCCAATGCAGTGTCAAAACTGTTACATGTTGGCATGGCTATGATTTGAAAATCTAGACCGAGTTATATCAAGGTAATAGTTGAAGTCAACTTATTCAAAAAAATTCTCAAACTGATCAATGTTGGAGTTAACAAGAAATATTATTTTGAAATCATCTCAACATGGATAAAATTCTTCTACAATTTCATTTCAAAGTGTTGAAATATTGCGAAAATCAAGGCAGAGGAATTATTTTCGTCGGGGGGGTTCAAAAAGATAAGTAAACCCACTAATAGTGTTCACAAATGTTAAATCTTGTATTTAGATTAGCGAACCATAAAATATAAACGATGAAAAGAAAAACACAAAGAACTATCCTAGTCCACAAAACTCACTATGTGTCTTTAAAAAATTTAATCCCCTCAATTACCTGAGGTCGCAGATTAATTCCTCTCATGATCAGATTAACCATTAAAGAAGCAGCGGTACCTCAAACTTTAATAATTTCAACGAACTCAAAATGAAAAAAATGAATCACACACCGACATGATTGATTGATTTAATTTTTAAAAAATGTATGCACAAGAAGGGAAGAATTTGATGTAGAAATTGAGAAAAATCCTCTCTATTTGTAGCCAACTTAGGGTAAAGACCAAGCTCTGTGGAAAGAACACAACCTTTCTGAAAGGTCACAACAATTCTTAAAAGGCACAACGTTTCAAACGATCATAAAACTTTAGAAAGGATACAACCTTTCAAAAAGGTCACAACCCTTTGACATAGCCACAATTTTTTATTTCTTTATCACACCTTTAAAATCCAACGTCATCCACATCAATAGGAAATAACCATTATTAAAATACATTCAATAAAAAACTATGTGATTCGTAAGTAAGAATTGATCCCATTTGGACAAGTAGGTTTCCCTATGAACTTTATATAGTGAACATATATCAGATTTACTCGGTCAATCAATATATTTGATATCTTTGAACCGTTGAGCTTTGGTGTATACCTATACAACATAAGTCACGCAATCAACCCTTGAACTATTTTAGGTTCTCATTGTTTTATTCATTTCAGAAATGAACACGTCGTGGTTTTTAAGTGCGTAGGGCACTCACCTTATCGGATTCCCCGTGAAGAGGATTACACTTCACACTTAGATAGGTGATTTCTAAATTTTTTTATCTCATAGACACACTATTTGATATACCATGAATCAAACATAGAAAACATTAAAAAGTCCTAATGTATTTAGCATTGTTAATGAACATTGTCTTATTATGAGAATGAACCATGAAAAGATTGACACTTTTGAACCGTCATTATTGACATTGTTTAATCTCCTTGAATAGAGATCTTGGGACCTCCTGTCTTCTCGGTAGAGTTACCACCACAATGACTTGTCCTCGGCCATAGTCTCATTTTCTTTGATAATCTTGCAACTCGCTCTCTAGTAAGACCTTTTATGAGTGGATCTGACACTTTATCCTTTGACATTAGATAGTTAATTATGGTTATTCTACTAGAGAGTAGTTATCTAACGATATATGTCTATGTCGTATGATGAGAGTTTCTGTTATCCATCATGCTCTATGCCCTATCTATTGCAAATTAACTCTCAAAGTATATGCATACTCGAGCTAAATGGTTTGGGAAAAAATGTTTCAAGAATTTTTGGAGCATTCAACTATTTCACCGGCCTTATTGAGAATGATAAACTCGGATTTCATAGTAGAGAGAGCGATACATTTCTGTTTGGATGTGTTCCAAGAAACTACTCCTCCACCAAGAGTAAATATATATCCGCTCATAGATTTTTCTTCATTTCACCTATTGATTCAATTTGCATAACTGAATTCTTCCAATACTATTGTGTACTCATTATAATGCAAAGAAATAGTTTTTAAGTATGTTTTAAATACTCCAATGCTCTTTTTATTGTCATCTAATGAGTTTGATTGAGATTACTCGTGAACCGAGTAAATTTACTAATAGCACATTCGATCTCTGATCGCGAACACTTCATGTTATATATCATACTTCTCAATACTCTAGAATAATCAAATTGTGAGTAAATATTGAAATCCAACTACTTGAACTTGTCAAGTACCTTTTCAATCCCATAAGTAACTTCAATTTCTTTCATATCGAAGTTACTTTCTAGCATATGCTTAGTAACATTTATGTCAAATATCTCTCTTTTGATGATCAACATCTCATCAACCAAAAAGCAAACAATGATCTTGTAATTTGGAATGTCTTTAATGTAAAATATTTATCATATTTATTATTCTAGAATTCATCAGCCAATAAAGTTTGGTATAACATCGCATGTCATTAGTTGATCACTACTTTTTTGTCCATAAATTTGTTTGACAATTGACATTTTTTCAGCTTATTATTATTTTTAATGTTTTAAACTTATTTCAATTTAGTGCTTCCTATTTTCTAGCTAGACTTAGTCAACTATAGTTGCTTAATTTTCTAAAGTTAGTGGCCCCATTATGGCTGTTAGTGGCCCCCTTTTATGATAGTTAGTGGCACATGTTCTTATTTTAGTTTTAGTTTTATGTTTTTTCTTTGTATAAATTAAGACTATCTGCAGATTAATATACACAAAGAATTTCAAAAGTTCACTCTATTTTTATTTTTTCAAATCAGTTATTTGAATATTTTGTTCTAACGGTGGCATCAGAGCCTCTAGTTGATCTTACAGGACTAAAAAAAAGTTTTAACCCTACAACACACAAATGGCATCCAACAACCTACCTTTAAATCCACCATTCACTTTCACTGGTGAAAATTACAAAATCTGGTCTGTGAAGATGCAAGCTTAGCCTATGAATTTTGGGAAACTGTGACGGAAGATAAACCACTTGCTGCTCTACCAGCAAATCCTACCTTGGCTCAGATCAAATCCAACAACGAAAAGAAGGCAAAGAAATCTAAAGCCATGTCGCTTATGCATAATGCTGTGGAAGATACTGTGTTTTACAGAATCATGACTTGCAAAACTGCAAAATAGGCTTGGGATAGGTCTAAAGAAAAATATCAAGGCAGTGATAGAACACGTCAAATTCAAGTGTTGAACCTAAAAAGAGAGGTTTAGTCCTTGAATATGAAAGAGTATGAAACTATCACTAAGTATGCTGATCGAATATCCTTAATTGATAATAACATTACACTTCTTGGTGAAGAATTTTCAGATAAACGAATTGTGGAGAAAGTTCTTGTGACTCTTCCTGAGAGATTTGAATCTAATATTTCCTCTCTTGAAGAATCCAATGACATGAGCAAACTTTCATTAGGTGAACTAATGAGTGCTCTTCATTCACAAGAGTAAAGGAGGACTATGAGTTGGGAAAAGTTCATTGAAGGAGCTTTCTCTATACAAAAGCAAAAAAGAAAAGCAACAATTCTACCAAAAGAAAAAGGGCAAGCATGATGGAGGAAACAATAGTGGAGATGTGAAGCAGAAGTTCCCTCCTTGCAAACATTGTAAAAGAAATACACATATGGAGAAGTGTTGTTGGTGGAGAGTCGATTCTATATGTGGCAACTGTAAGAAGACGGGACATGTATCCAAGTCCTGCAAATCAAAAGCAAAGGCCTCTAGTGCTTTTCAAGCACAAGTAGGAGAAGCTGACGATGCACATAAAGACCAACTATTTGAAGTTTCATACTTTTCAATCAATGAATCCTCTGATTCATGGCTTCTTGATATAGGTTGCTCATATCACTTGTGCAATAATGTTGAACTGTTCAAATTCCTATATGATACTTACAAATCTAAAGTAAAAGTGGGAAACAGTGAGGCAGTAGAATTCAAAGGCAGAGGTACAATGTCTATCTCAACAATATCATGTATCAAAACTATTTCTGATGTTTTGTACACACCTGATATCAGTCAAAACTTGTTGAGTGTTGGACAAATTCTTGAAAATAATTATTCTCTACATTTTAAGAATCGTGATTGTGTTGTTTCTGACCATTTTGGAGCAGAGTTATTTTAGGTCAAGATGAGCAACAGAATGTTTTCAGTTGATTGGGAAAAAATAACTGAGTAGGCTTACACTATTACTTCACAATCATGTACAAACCTATGGAACAAAAGGTTTGGTCACTTCAATCTGAGAAGCATCACCGATATGATAAAAAAACGAGCTAGTGGAAAATATGCCTGAATTTCTTTCTA